GCCGCAGTGTGCGCCGCGCCGGGAGGGGAGGGGGCCGGCAGGCAGCGAGTTCATTTCCCTGGTAATCAGCGGCAAGCTGCTATATTCAGGGAATGCTGTCCCTTTAATTGAACAGGCTAGGTAATTAAATGGCACTTTTCCAATAGGACGTGCTAGGTAAATCTAATAGTTGGTTATTTAATATCACTTTGAAGTCTGCCCACTCAAGCACAATGACAGCACAGGAGCATGTGAACTATTAGCTAGGAAAAAAAAAAACACCAGGATCTCAAAAATTAATTAAATCGCATGCAATTTAGGGGGAACGTTTATCTTGATTTGTCATAACAGAATTAATTCAAGGCCTCCAATTCACTTGGGGGCAGATCTGTTACTCTGAATTAACCAAGCGTAATTTGGCTGGTTTTTTTTTTTTTTTTTCCTTCCCCTTCTCTAATGCAGCACTTGCCATTATGCACAGCCCCCCTTTTAAGTATCAATAGCTTCTGGTGCTTTTAAGGTGCTTGGTCTCTAGTTATTCTGAAGTACCTTTAATGGACTTGGCTCCAGGCGTAATTTCTGTGTTGCCTTTCTTTGTTACATTTAATATAGCTGGTGCGGAATTTAGATTAAATATAGGGAATGTAGAGAAACACCAATGGCTTCTGGATCAGTAGGTCTGGATGTGCGTTTCTCTTTGCTAGGGCTCGGATAGATATTTGTGGCCACAATTGTGCGCCGTGTTGTGCAAGAACGGGAGCACTTAAATCTGTCTCCACGATTTTGGAAACAACTGGAGCCTTATTTTGTTTGTTAGTGTAAGTTGCTAGAGATGTGTTTCTTCTGATACTGAATTTTGAGCAGCAAGAGGGGAAACTGGGTTGAAAAGGTTCCTTACTGCCTTCGCATTCCCACTCTCGTGAAAGGGTCTTAAAAAAACAACAAACCAAAACCGAAACAAAAAAACCCACCCCACCCCAGGAGCATTACTGTGTTTGGGGGAGCGGGGAATGCTGTGTTGGAACCACAAAGTAGTTAATTTAAGGTGGCTCAGTAAAATGCTGCTAAGTGTAGAAGAGCTGCCTTGTCCATACAAGGAACCTCTTGATGTTTGTGATTGATTGCATTGCCCAAATGTTGAAATATTAATGACCTTCTTGGACTGAGGACCCAAAGAGGAAACTGAAACCAATTCTGTCATCACAATTAAAGAGTCCCCTGGCTTTAATTAGCCTGACCTGGGGTATCTCTACCCATTGCTGCAGTTAAAGAGAAAAGAGCCCATTAAAGTCCAGTCTGAGACCGATAGCTACTTAATTGAGCACCTAAAGCCTCAAGCCTTTTAAATCAAATACTGTCCTGGACAGTCCCCCTGGTTAGATAATTAGCTCTCCAGCCTCTCAGAAACCATGTGAAACAACTTTTTCAGTAAAGAATAGTTACTGTGGAAGACTTCCTTTACTGGTAAGGAGGAATAACATTTTTTTAAAAGATAAAGCCTTTTTCCTGTTAATGGTATTACAGAACAAAACCATTCATCACAGTAGAAAAGGAAAAATAAGGTTAATTTTCCTGGTAAATAATACAAAGCAGCGGAAGGGTGTTCTGACTTCGCAAGTAAATTTTTTTTGGAATTTTAGCAGACAGTTCGGCTGAAGTGACTTCCCAAAACAGACCTGTTCTGGGAACACGCTTAGGGAAAACCTAAGATGTGCGGAAAGCCTCTGGATTAGTTTGACTCCATTTATTAGAATTTCACAGACATCCAAGGTGTACGACCACTTCTAGTCAGAGAGAATTGTATAACAAATGAATGCTTAATGAAGACAAGAACTGCAATGAGATCCTTGTTCCGAAAACGCTTCCGTTTGGGTGGTGCAATTGGACCGGGGACTGCGAGAGCCGCTCACCGGCTTCAGATTCTCCCAGACAAGTAACGTCCCCTGTTCATCTGCAGGACTTTGCCTTTCTGCCTCCACCCCACCCAGCAGTGCCACCCCCTCACCCCAGATTTTTGGGTCCAGAAACATACGAGTGCCTTGCTGCCTCCTCTCGCAGTGCTTCCCCTGCACCTTTTCTACTTGCCAACTTCATTTCTAGTAACAAAGGAGGAACAGAAATGCGTATGGTAAAGCTTTGGAAGTAATCTCAATGCATCATGTAACTACTCGGAACTGGTCCTGATTTAGAAGATGCCCTAATAATGGCCCCTTAGTTTCCTGACAGTTTAGTCCCTTTGGCTGGAGGTCCTGACAATGTATTAGTTCAGCTTTCCCTTTGTAACCACTGTGATTCTGCAAGAACGTGTCAATGTGTCGTGGATCTCAGACTAATTAGTTTTGAAATGGAGTTTTGATTGAACTCTTCAAATCGATGCTGCTGCAAAATTTGTTTCTCAGCTTCCTATTAAAAGCCATCTTAAGGGGCAGTTTTACTACTCTCTCTGTCGTTCAGTCGATACATTTAATAACAACTTACAGGCTATTTTCAATAAAGTGGCGACAGCAAATTAGTAGTTTGAACATGACAAGCCTCCTCTGCAAGCTCGGATTCTGAAAATTCAAAGCAATTATTTTTATACAGAGGCACACTGCAATCATTCAGATTACGGGTATTCTGTTGTAATGCGTCTCCTAGGTTGACACAAACAGAATTTTATGGCTTCCGCGGGGCGCCCCGCCCGCAGCCGCAGTGTGCGCCGCGCCGGGAGGGGAGGGGGCCGGCAGGCAGCGAGTTCATTTCCCTGGTAATCAGCGGCAAGCTGCTATATTCAGGGAATGCTGTCCCTTTAATTGAACAGGCTAGGTAATTAAATGGCACTTTTCCAATAGGACGTGCTAGGTAAATCTAATAGTTGGTTATTTAATATCACTTTGAAGTCTGCCCACTCAAGCACAATGACAGCACAGGAGCATGTGAACTATTAGCTAGGAAAAAAAAAACCACCAGGATCTCAAAAATTAATTAAATCGCATGCAATTTAGGGGGAACGTTTATCTTGATTTGTCATAACAGAATTAATTCAAGGCCTCCAATTCACTTGGGGGCAGATCTGTTACTCTGAATTAACCAAGCGTAATTTGGCTGGTTTTTTTTTTTTTTTTTTTCCTTCCCCTTCTCTAATGCAGCACTTGCCATTATGCACAGCCCCCCTTTTAAGTATCAATAGCTTCTGGTGCTTTTAAGGTGCTTGGTCTCTAGTTATTCTGAAGTACCTTTAATGGACTTGGCTCCAGGCGTAATTTCTGTGTTGCCTTTCTTTGTTACATTTAATATAGCTGGTGCGGAATTTAGATTAAATATAGGGAATGTAGAGAAACACCAATGGCTTCTGGATCAGTAGGTCTGGATGTGCGTTTCTCTTTGCTAGGGCTCGGATAGATATTTGTGGCCACAATTGTGCGCCGTGTTGTGCAAGAACGGGAGCACTTAAATCTGTCTCCACGATTTTGGAAACAACTGGAGCCTTATTTTGTTTGTTAGTGTAAGTTGCTAGAGATGTGTTTCTTCTGATACTGAATTTTGAGCAGCAAGAGGGGAAACTGGGTTGAAAAGGTTCCTTACTGCCTTCGCATTCCCACTCTCGTGAAAGGGTCTTAAAAAAACAACAAACCAAAACCGAAACAAAAAAACCCACCCCACCCCAGGAGCATTACTGTGTTTGGGGGAGCGGGGAATGCTGTGTTGGAACCACAAAGTAGTTAATTTAAGGTGGCTCAGTAAAATGCTGCTAAGTGTAGAAGAGCTGCCTTGTCCATACAAGGAACCTCTTGATGTTTGTGATTGATTGCATTGCCCAAATGTTGAAATATTAATGACCTTCTTGGACTGAGGACCCAAAGAGGAAACTGAAACCAATTCTGTCATCACAATTAAAGAGTCCCCTGGCTTTAATTAGCCTGACCTGGGGTATCTCTACCCATTGCTGCAGTTAAAGAGAAAAGAGCCCATTAAAGTCCAGTCTGAGACCGATAGCTACTTAATTGAGCACCTAAAGCCTCAAGCCTTTTAAATCAAATACTGTCCTGGACAGTCCCCCTGGTTAGATAATTAGCTCTCCAGCCTCTCAGAAACCATGTGAAACAACTTTTTCAGTAAAGAATAGTTACTGTGGAAGACTTCCTTTACTGGTAAGGAGGAATAACATTTTTTTAAAAGATAAAGCCTTTTTCCTGTTAATGGTATTACAGAACAAAACCATTCATCACAGTAGAAAAGGAAAAATAAGGTTAATTTTCCTGGTAAATAATACAAAGCAGCGGAAGGGTGTTCTGACTTCGCAAGTAAATTTTTTTTGGAATTTTAGCAGACAGTTCGGCTGAAGTGACTTCCCAAAACAGACCTGTTCTGGGAACACGCTTAGGGAAAACCTAAGATGTGCGGAAAGCCTCTGGATTAGTTTGACTCCATTTATTAGAATTTCACAGACATCCAAGGTGTACGACCACTTCTAGTCAGAGAGAATTGTATAACAAATGAATGCTTAATGAAGACAAGAACTGCAATGAGATCCTTGTTCCGAAAACGCTTCCGTTTGGGTGGTGCAATTGGACCGGGGACTGCGAGAGCCGCTCACCGGCTTCAGATTCTCCCAGACAAGTAACGTCCCCTGTTCATCTGCAGGACTTTGCCTTTCTGCCTCCACCCCACCCAGCAGTGCCACCCCCTCACCCCAGATTTTTGGGTCCAGAAACATACGAGTGCCTTGCTGCCTCCTCTCGCAGTGCTTCCCCTGCACCTTTTCTACTTGCCAACTTCATTTCTAGTAACAAAGGAGGAACAGAAATGCGTATGGTAAAGCTTTGGAAGTAATCTCAATGCATCATGTAACTACTCGGAACTGGTCCTGATTTAGAAGATGCCCTAATAATGGCCCCTTAGTTTCCTGACAGTTTAGTCCCTTTGGCTGGAGGTCCTGACAATGTATTAGTTCAGCTTTCCCTTTGTAACCACTGTGATTCTGCAAGAACGTGTCAATGTGTCGTGGATCTCAGACTAATTAGTTTTGAAATGGAGTTTTGATTGAACTCTTCAAATCGATGCTGCTGCAAAATTTGTTTCTCAGCTTCCTATTAAAAGCCATCTTAAGGGGCAGTTTTACTACTCTCTCTGTCGTTCAGTCGATACATTTAATAACAACTTACAGGCTATTTTCAATAAAGTGGCGACAGCAAATTAGTAGTTTGAACATGACAAGCCTCCTCTGCAAGCTCGGATTCTGAAAATTCAAAGCAATTATTTTTATACAGAGGCACACTGCAATCATTCAGATTACGGGTATTCTGTTGTAATGCGTCTCCTAGGTTGACACAAACAGAATTTTATGGCTTTATTTGGACAGGAAGGAGATGCAAATATTAATATTTATTATGACACCAATACGCTAATTTGTAAATCCTATTACTATGTTTTACATCGTGCAGAAAAGTGGGTCTGTGACCCTGCCAGCTAGTTCGGTTTCCTGTTTTACTGTGAAATGATTGTGGTAGTCTTTATAAATATTTGTATATATTAGAGACCCACGCAAAAGCAAATAAAGGTTTTCTAATTCTAGCTAACGCAGCCTGTAAAAGTAGAACTCAATAATCATTATTGTATTATATTTTGAATCGATGCGTTGTGCCTTTAAATGGATTTGAAGAATTATGTATATATTTTTCTTCGCCACTCTTCTGCCTATTTCCCCCTCCCCCCACTGCGTGTGCCCCCCCCCAATGGCAGATGTTGTGGTCTCATTTGATTGCATAGGAAAACTGCAGTGATACAGCAAACACCCAGAGAGATATGATGACAAATGGGTCCAGATCCCGGTAAATTACTTTCTGCTCAAATCGAAATTTCATTCAGTTTGTTGCTAGCAGAGATGAAGTAATCTAAATTGTGGACTCAGGAGCAGATAGAGGGAAGTTGGAGCAAGCATTTCATTATCAAGAGAGAGAGAAGGTTAGGATGAAAGAGATGAGCAGAGGCAAATCTAAAGTGTTGACACCATGATTGAAAAGGTTAACCCATACACATTATATATCAACCTGGATAGCAGAGAGTTTCTAATGGAAACTCTGCACTGATGGAGGTTTACTGGAGTTTCAATACACTGAGCATGATGTCTTCTTAGATATACAATCAAATCCTCTTAACCCTTTTGATGACTCATATCTCAAGATATGATTAAAGTACAAAAGAGTTCTTCATATAATTTCAAGGACACAATGCATTTAAACTCCAGTCATGAATTGTATCTTTTTTTTTATGATGAACCCAGTAATCTGATAAAATGTGTGTAGTACAGAATTGTTTGTGTTTCTAGAGGTGTAAGTCAATATTTCTGATTAAATCCCGTGTAACCACATCCAAGGTAGGGTGAAGCTACCAGTTGGTACACAAAAATATACTTTTTCATTTTATGACACGTAAGCGAGTTGGAAGACAGGGGTCAGAAGTCTAAAACAGTTGTGTAATAAGCCATTGCGATGATGCACAAAAATGCTTAGAGCCTCCTGTGTATTAAATTATTCATGATCATCACCTCTGTTTCAGGTTATTTGGAAATAGTGGTGCTTGCAGTGCCTGTGGACAGTCCATTCCTGCTAGCGAGCTGGTCATGAGGGCGCAGGGCAACGTCTATCATCTTAAGGTGAGGGATTTTTTCTATGTACTTTTTTTTTTTCAGTAGCTGATTAGTACTGCCCTGCTTCTTTAGTATAAAAATCTGCATCTGCTTATGGAGGAAATGCAAAACAATAACTAGAAATATGAGTATATGTTATAATGCTTCCCTTAGTGTGTAGCTTTGTTCCCTCGTAATCGGTAAAACTATACTTGAGTTATGTACTGTATAGTCCCAACAGGTAAGACTAATGCCATATTTGGAGATACTAGAAACCAAGCAGCTCCATATCTCAACTCTACTCGCAGTCTCTGAAGTGTAATTTTCAAACCTGCAGCATACTTAATTTGTGCTGTAGTTTCACTCGCTGTCTCTTTCCTTTTCCAGTGTTTTACATGCTCTACCTGCCGGAATCGCCTGGTCCCCGGAGATCGGTTTCACTACATCAATGGCAGTTTATTTTGTGAACATGATAGACCTACAGCTCTCATCAATGGCCATTTGAATTCACTTCAGAGTAATCCACTACTGCCAGACCAGAAGGTGAATACTCAACAATTACTAATAAGCTTTGTTAGAGCTAAATGAAGATCAATTTCTTTTCCTTCTAATAGCGGACGTTCCCCACCCCTGCAAGGAGACCTTTAAGTAACTGAACTTACCTTAAATAACTTAGGCATGGGGTATGGAGAGAAAATACTAATGTTTCAAATATGACACGTAGGGTGAGTCAGTTTATTTTGGTTTGGGCATGTGCATCTGTACAGCTGTCGAACTCCTTATGTACAAAGCTAAATGGAGAGCATGCATTAATATAAACTCTGAACAAAGAGAAGTATTTTATTTTATAATCTTGAAATTAAGGGCTACAATCGAGAGCAGGTTTCTGTGAGAGGAAAATTAGGTCCTTTAATATGGAAATAAATGTCTTGTGAAGAGAAGGTTCCTGAACTAAAGCAATGTGTTTCACTTTAATATTAAGGTTTTAGTTGAGGAAGCATGCTGGGGTACTCTTTCAGAAGTATTTTCTTGTCTGTTTTGTATGACAGAACTCAGATTTAAAAACCAAAGTGCTATTTTCTTATCGCTCCATAACACTAATAGCTCAACTAGAGATTGTATATCTCTGTGGTTGATAGCTCTTGGTTTCTAGCTAAATGAGTAAATAATGACTGTACAAATCATATAGAGGAGAAGAAGAGAAAAAAAATTCTGATCAACAGTTGTCCTGTAACTCTGAAACTAGATAGTTTTAGATCTATTTTAATCTCCTTAATAAGTCCTAAAGCTATGCAAGTGAGTGCATTTTGATAACTGCTGTGCCTAATTTGTAACAATTACTGTCAACCTTGAGTTAAGAGACTGTTCATTCCACCCTGGTCCAGAAAAGAGTGAATGTATGACTCTTGCACATAATTTTATTCACATCATATTTCATACTGATTATGTATTGATGACATTGATTCATTTACTCTTTACAGCGCCACTTGCATGGATATTAAATCTTATTGACCACAGATGAATTTTAATTTCAGATTGGTGATAGATTTTTCCATCAGCTCTGATAGTATATTTGACTTTTTCATCATTAACCCAGGCAATCACATAGCACTGAGTTATTGCAATGAAACAAAAAGTGCACACTTCAGTTGGTAATTCTTTATAGATTTACAATAGGAACTTCATTAATGTCTGTAAGGATCACAAAAAATAACATTTATCTGCAAATAGGAATTTGGAAGATTAAAAAAAAATCCAGGGCAAATGCTAGGCTGATCTATTCTGTAATGTACAGAAAAAAATTTAGTGCTTTTACTTAGTGGAGAAATACGGGCAAGAAAACACAAACTGGTTTTCAATTTCCATGATTTTTTTTGTTGTGTTGCTGCTTTTCAGTATGTGTTTGCTTTTTTTCCCATGCATAAATTTACTGATTAATTTTAAGTATTCTTTCAAGTCTTACATAGGGAATGTAATTACATCAAAATAAAACATAGACCTCTTTTATTTACTTAATTTGTCAATCGAGGTGATGATAGTTGAGTACAAAAGTCCTATGTAGTTAGGCAGAACAAAGATAATTAAGATTGGAGGAGAACGTGCAGCCTCTTCTCAAGGAAGTACAAATACAGTTAAAGATTCATAGATTTATACTGTTGTGAATTTTAATGAAACAAATCTGTAATATAGACTGACTAGCAGTGAATCTGTTAAATGAATATTTGTAGGTATCCCATTTCAAAATATAGGTAAAACCATTCATCTTTATACACTGCAGTAAAAGGTTTACCATTCTGAGAGAGTGGTTTATCCACTTGTCTTCTAGGAATGTAAAGTTTAATGTAACTTCAAATAGGTGTCTAAATTGTCATTTAGTTTTATCATAGTTTCTTACTATGCCGTAGCAAAACGTAAAAATGATTTAGTTGCAATAAAAGCAGGAGACATGATGAGGAACACAGAACATGGAAAAGAGAAGTAAAATTGGCCTGGGCTTGCAGAGCTCACGACTGTAGACACCTGGTAGAAGCTAAATGCAGAGAAAATAGTGAGAACAGGTTTTTATTAGTGCCTGTCACCAGCTATTAACCGCATTGCTACAGTCAAAGATGAGGCAGATGAAGAGGTATTAGTGAGAAAACTGAGGGGAGAGATTATAGTTTGGAGAATTTTTTTCATTATACTATAATCTCTCTAGAAAACAGTCTAAGTTCTCCTACCAGTTTTCAAAGGAGAATTGCAGAGCACGAGAACCCCAGAAAACTGAAATACAGCTGAGGAGACAAGTCGATAATTCATAGATTTATCAGGTTTCTGGAGTTTTGGAAGCTACAGGGGCAGGTGCCAAATGAGTCGCGTTTTGTCTGTTGGCATTTTAACAGTCTAAAGATGTTTACATCAGAGATGTTTTCCAGAAAGCTGTGTGTTTTAGGGCCACTAATTAAAAATGTTCTTCCACTATGACAGATTTGGCTGTAACAGATACTCTTTATTAAACATTAAAGATCAATCAGTCTCCAGGTTATTTTACCACTAGAGATTATAGACATAGCAGAATATTCACAGGGTTTTTTATTAAACTGAAGAGATTGAAATGTACTTCCAGCACTAAAACCCGTTTTTGTTGCGTGTGTGAAGGTGACAGGAACTCACTGTTGTCTTCATATAGTTTCCAGGTTAATAGCTGTTGGCCATCGGTGCAGGCAGAAAGAGCTGCATGACCTAACTTTGCTTAAAAACTTCCTTTCCTTTTTAAGGAGGCAAAAGCAGCGATGTTGGCCATTCCTGCCTTTTGCCTCCCTGAGGCAGTTCACGCGTGTAAATTATAACTTTCCATCACTTGCTACCTAGTTTGAAAAAACATAGAAACAAACCCCCAACCCTGTATTCTCTAAACTCAATGCTGCTTGCCTGCAGAACGCAAACGCTCCGCTGGTGATGTCCCGCGTGCCGGTTCCTGTGAAGGGGCTGTATTGTAGTATTTCTTGTCTGCAGCGGTATCACCACCTACTCAAAGTGTAAATTTTCCACCGGTTGGCAATGTTCGTAGCAAACGCTTGTCTTCAGCTTCTATACTTTTAAATAAAGTATGAGTTAGATTACATCTCTCGGAGAAGATCTTAAAAATCTTCTAGTTTACATATCACTCAACAATTCCCTTGTAGTTACATAATTGGTGTTGTCTGTGTCCATAGTAGAAGATATTTGATGCTCATTTATTAACTATGCTTGCTGGCTGCTCCCTAATCTTTGTTCTGGACAGACAAATTACCTTTCTCACACTGAGCTTCAGCTCTGGGGAATTAAACCTCCAAGCCTCTACTACTTTAATTAGCTTGAAAGTGGGGGGTTGCAGTTACTAATAGACCTCAGGCTTTTAGTAACTTAGAGAAAGGGTGAAAAAAGAACTTCCTGGGAAGCGCAAAATGTCATTTAAAAACCATAAAAATCTAATATATATTATTTCATTTTGGTAATTGCAAACAGATTGTATTTGAAGACTATGGATGATCATTTCTGTTTTATCCATGAAAGTTTAGATTTTTATTGAGTTAGACACTTTTAATTATCACAATTCATTAACACCAGTGTGAAAGCACATGTTTGACTTCATGTATTAAAATGTTTATGTAACATTAACTAACACACCAGATGAGGAATTTTAAATGGGGGGAAAAATCCTGAAATATCTATATTTAGCTCTTGTGCAATGCAGCATATTAACCAAAGTTGCCTTGGGAGGATATTGGCTGTACTTCTTATTTGCTTTACACACTATTTCTTCCAATTATAAGATCATATTACTGGCTTCTTCAAAGGCATGGCATAATGTTTCTTCCCTTTTAAAAGGGGCCCAGAAAAACCACCTTATTCACTGTACGATTTGTTACCAGAAAGTACACTTATTTATTGTTGTCGTCTCGCTTTTTTTTTTTCTGTGTGCTCTTTTTAGTAGTGAAACTGCAGAAAATGTTTGCTTTTTGCTATTTGAAGTTGAAACATTAGCAGTATGAATGGATAGTGTAGAAAGCCTTAATCAAGTCACAGTTGGAAAGTAATCTAATAAAAAAGAGATTAGTGAATAAGGAAAAGACAAAAGCAGTCATGTTGTAGTTTCCTATCTCACATTTAGTATTCTAGCTAAGATACCCATTTTTATTTCTTACAGGTCTGCTAAAAGGTCAGAGTAATGCAGAATGCGTGCCTTCATCTCAAATTTTGTTCATCACAGATGGATCCCATGTCTCCAAGTAGACAAGTCACCTTTGTAGCTAGCATCAATGCCAGCTCCATACCATTGCACCTTCTTTATTCTTGATTGCCCTTCCCACATTTATTGGTGTATTAAAATGACTGAATATGAACATTAAGGACTCCATGAACCTGGGCTAATGGGAGACTAGAGAAAATGAAAAAAGATCCACCGGAGGACATCTTGGGGGGGGCGGGC